TTGTTGTTATTATTAGTGTTGTTATTTTATTGTTGTTATTATTCTTGTTCTTTTTGTCTTATTATTGTTATTATTAGTGTTACTATTATTATTATTGATATTATTGTTGTTATTTTTATTGTTATTGTTATAATTACTACTACTAGTACTACTACTACTATTATTGTTATTATTACTGTTGTTGTTTTGAATATATGTAACCATTCATCTTTATCCACCCTTTTTCCACCTCTTTCATCCTTCTCCTCTACGCCATGCACCTCTTTTAACCTCAATCTCTTCTCCACCCTTTTTCCACCTCTTTCATCCTTCTCCTCTACGCCATGCACCTCTTTTAACCTCAATCTCTATCGTGTCTCTGCTGCGTCCCATTCACGCGAGGCTTCCCCTTGGTGTCGGAAAGCCTTCGTAATTAATGGCCAAGACGGATGGGGGTTCAGAAGGGGGTTTCTTGAAGGGCAGATTAACGTGGTTCGTTTACCGATGGGACATATGCACGTGTGTGTGTGTTTGGGGGTTGGGTGGGTTGGTTTGGGTGTGGTTCTATGTGTGTTGCTGGGTGGGGGTTGTATGTGTGTGTGTGTGTGGGTGGGTGGGTAGAAGGAGGGGTTGTGGTGTGTGTGGGGGGTATGTGTGTAAGAGGGGGGGGGTTTGTGGGGTGTGTGTGTGTGTGTGTGTGTGTGTTGTGTGTGTGTGTGTGTGTGTGTGTGTGTGTGTGTGTGTGTGTGTTTGTGGATCTATTTATCTATCTTTATATGCATATTGACACTACATACACTACTTAGAAATCCGATAAGTGATAAATATATTATGATTTATATCTTCTCCACGATGCCTGCCTTTAAATAAAGTGGGAGTGGGAGTGAGAGACGTCCCCCCCCCCGCCCTTTGACTCCATCCTCCTTCTCCCTCGACTCCCTCCATCCCTTCACCTAGACTTCCTCCTTCCCGCCCTAACTCCACTCTCGATTCCCTCCCTCCACCCTTGACTCCTTCCTCCCTCTCTCCTCCCTCCCTCCTCCTCGACTCCCTCCCTCCCTCCACTCCCTCTTTCCATCCATTCCTCCATCCCCCTCGACTCCTTTTCTCCCTCCACCCACTTGCTGCGTCGGAACACCTGTGGCCTCGTTCCCTCCGGCGCGGAACCTGTGTAACACCTGTTGGATCCACACATACATTGGCGGGACGGGAAGGGTAGGGGGGGAGATGGGTAGGGGGAGGAATAGGGGGTAAGGGGGTAAGGGGGTAAGGAATGAGGTCTTCGGTCTGTTTGTCTGGCTCTTTGTCTGTGTCTTTCTCTTTCTTTTTCTTTCTGTCTATTTGTCTGTTTCTCTTTCTCTCTGTGTTCTGTGTATTTCTCTCTCTCTCTTTCTCTCTTTTCTCTCTTTCTCTTTCTCTCTTCTCTCTTCTCTCATTCTCTCTCTCTCTCTCTCTCTCTCTCTCTCTCTCTCTCTCTCTCTCTCTCTCTCTCTCTCTCTCTCTCTCTCTCTCTCTTCTCTCCTTCTCTTCTCTTTCTTTTTCTTTCTTTCCTCTTCTTTATTCTTTCTCTCCCTCTCTCCCTCTCCCTTCCCCCTCCCTCCCCTCCTTCTCCCTCCACTACCTCTCCCTCCTCTCTGTCTACCCTCCCTCCTCCCTCTCTCTCTCTCTCACTCTCACTCTCTCTTTTCATTCTTCTGCCTCGCCTACACTATTCTGTGACTCAGAAAATGAACGAATAATTTTTTAAAGACATGTTGTAACTACAGTATCTGCTAACACGGGGATCAAAGTGCATGAGCATTAAATTAATCCAACGATTTACCGATAAGAAAGAGAACATTATTACAAAAATTATCGAATACGTCATTGTCAATATCATTCATTTACGTTTACATGTTTCTCTCGTCCTCTCTCTCTCTCTCTTCTATTCTCTCTCTCTCTCTCTCTCTCTCCTCTCTCTCTCTCTCTCTCTCTCTCTCTCTCTCTCTCTCTCTCTCTCTCTCTCTTCTCTCTCTCTCTCTCTCTCTCTCTCTCTCTCTCTCTCTCTCTCTCTCTCTCTCTCTCTCTCTCTCTCTCCTTCTTCTTCTCTCTCCTCTCTCTCTTCTCCTCCCTCTCTCTCTCTCTCTCTCTCTCTCTCTCTCCCTCTCTCTCTCTCTCTCTCTCTCCTCTCTCTCTCTCTCTCTCTCTCCATCTTCTCTCGCTCTCTCCATCTCCCTCGCTCTTCCATCTTCCTCTCTCTCCCTTTCCCCTCTCCTTCTCTCCCTCTCTCCTTCTCTCCCTCCCTCCCTCCCTCCTCGTGACGTCACGAATGATGAACATGTGGTGGAATTCGTTTTCTGTCAAGAGCCAGATACATCATGTTCATCGGTATGACGTCACCGTTTTGTATTTAGTGCTTTGTGTGCACGTTATCTCACTCTTTCTCTCTCGCTTTTTTCACTCGTTCACTCTCCATCTCGGCTCCCTCTCCCTCTCCTCCTCTCTATCTCTGCCCCTCTCTCTTTCCCTCTCCCCTCCTCTTCCCCTCCTCCCCTTCTCCCTCCCCCTCTTCATGTGTCTCAGATGATGGACTTAAACGAACCCTGTCGTTCTGTTTCCATGTGCTTCCTCCTCCTCTATCTCCTTCTCCTCTTTCTTCTGCTTCTTCTCATCCTCCACGTCTTCCTCTTCTTCTCTTCTTCTTCTCCCTCTCCTCCTCTTCCTCCTCCACCCCCCTCCCTCTTCTCCTTTTCTAACTTTTTCTCCTCTCTTCTTCCTCCTCCTTTTTCTTCATCCTCCTCCTCCTCCTTCCTTCTCTCCCCTTCGTGATTCGGATCCAACGGCACTTACTGAGAGGCATTAATTCCGCGTCACGTACCGGCATTCGCTAATTCTTCGCTGGCAGGATTAGATGCGATTCCTCCTCCTCTTCCCCCTTCTCTTCCCTCCTCCAACCTCTCCCCCCTTCTTACTTCTCCTCCTCCTCGCCTCTACCCCCTTCTCCTTCTCCCCTCGCTCTTCTCCTTCCCTCTCTCCTCCTCTCCCCCCTTCTCCTCCCTCCTCCTCCTCCTTCCTCTCCTCCCTCTTCCTCCTTCCTCCTCCTCTCCTCCTCCTTCCCCCCCCTTCTCCTCCTCCTCTTCCCCCTTCTCCCTTCTCCTCTCCTCCTCTCCCCCTTTCTCCTCCTCTTACTCCCCCTTCTCCTCCTTCCTCCACCGCCCCCCTTCTCCTCCTCCTTCTTCTCCTCCTCCGCCCCCCTTCCCTCCTCCTCGCCCCCCCCCCCTTCTCCTCTTCTTCTCCTTTCCCCTTCTCCTCCTCCTCCTTTCTTCTTCTCGCTCCTCCTCCTCTTCTTCTTTTTCTTCATCAATCTTCTCTTCTTCTTCTTCTTCTTCTTCTTTCCTCCTCCTCTCCTCCTCCTTCTCCTCCTCCCCTCCTCCTCCTCTCTCCTCCTCCTCCCCTCTCCTCCCTTTCTTCTCCTTCTCTCCCTCGGTCGCCTCTAACGTTGCCTGTGAGAGAGGAGAGAGAGAGAGAGAGAGAGAGAGAGAGAGAGAGAGAGAGAGAGAGAGAGAGAGAGAGAGAGAGAGAGAGAGAGAGAGATGAGAGAAGAGAGAGAGAGGAGAGAGGAGGAGGGAGGGAGGGAGGAAGGGAAGAAGGGAAGGAAGAAGGAGAGGAAAGGGAGAGAAAGAGAGAGGTCTTCCTTGTTTTATTTTTGAAGAAAAATAAAAGAAAAAATAGAGAATTAATAAATGAAAGGAAAGAAAAATGAATGAATAAAAAGAGAGAGAGGGATGGGAGAGAAGACAGACAGACATACAAAACAGACAGACAGACAGACAGACAGCAGAGTTAGGAAGTGACAAATACGGAAATAAGTTAGAGAGAAGGATACGTGCAGTCTGTCTTTCGAGAGTGGAGGAGGGAGGGAGGGAGAGAGAGAGTCGGGTGGGGGGAGGGAGGGAGTCGGAGGTGGAGGAGGGAGAGAGAGAAGATGGAAGGGAGGGAGTCGAGAGTGGAGGGAGGGAGGGAGAGAGTCGAAGGTGGGGAGGGAGGGAGTCGAGAATGGAGGGAGGGAGAGAGGAGTCGAAGGTGGGGAGGGAGGGAGGGAGAGAGAGAGTCGAAGGTGGGGGAGGGGAGGGAGTCCGAGAGTCGGGGGTGTTAATTTATACTAGTAGACATGAAGTAAATGATGTGTTAGTGTTGTTTAAAAATGAAGTGTAGAAAGGAGGGGAACCGTGTTAACATACGGGAATGTATGTGTTGACATGACGGAAGTGATATGTAGACGTGAGGTCAATGGAGTGTAAACTTCAGGGAATGAATGTAGATAGGCGGTGAAAGGGTCTCTTGACATGACATGACGGAAGGGAAGTATAGACATGAGCGAAAGGGGTATGGAAGTAAAGGAAGGGATATGTACACATAAGGGAAGATGCGTGTATACATGAAGTAGAAGTGTATACATGAGTTAAGAGATGTATGAACATGAAGGAAGAAATGTGTACATATGAGAATCCTTCATGTATGTGCCCTAGATTTGAGTGGCATTAACATTTGTACATTAAGGGCGATCGAAACGTCATTGGGGACGAATAAGCGGCATGATGTTGACACAAGAGTCAGGTGTACGGGGGGGGGGGCACATGGGAAGAAGGGGGAGACACATTCATGTAGAAGACATATGTGAGGAAGAAGGGAGAGACATCTACGAGAGCGTAGGGAGATAAGCTTCCATTAGGAGGAAATGTAGAGCTGTGTGGGAGAGGGAGAGAGGCACCTTAGAGGGAGAGGGAGACAGATACCTTAGGGAGAGATCATCACTTGGAGTAGAGGGAGTCAGAAATCTACCATCAGGTAGATTAAACACATTCCATGAACGTTGTAGGGAAGCAAAGCATAGACATTTTGATTTTTGTTCAGATTTGTTTTTGGTTCATGTTATTTCCTCGGATGACGTAGGTCGACCTGACGGAGCATGTTACCTGTCACTCTTCCCTGTCCCTCACGCCTTGTGTCGTCACTCACTGACCGGCTTGATTCTGTTGCAGGTGGCGTGTGCGCAGGCGCGCCCGCCATGGTTCCCGAGCCGCCCACGCTGCTGTCATGAGGATGTCTTGCAGTGGTTGGGTGTCGGGTGGGGCGGCGCCCCCCATGGTACTGGCGCCGCCCGACTCCCTCGCCTACCGCCGCTACCTCCGGTTCCTCCCCAGCCAGGAGGAGTCTGGAGGGAAGTTCCTGGCGCTGGAGGGCGCGGAGGGCTTGGGCCCGCAGGGGCGGCTCCTCGACCTAAGGCGGCAGGGGGAAGCGGGGTACGGGCACGAGGGAGTGCAATATCAGAACCCTAAAAATGGGAGCAGTGGGACGGCAGAGATAGAAGGCGGGAAGCTCGGTGATAAGGCAGCGGATGTCAGTGTGAGCTTTCGGGTTCAGCAGTACACAGCTATGCTTCGCGCCCGACACAGCGCGCAATACAACACACCGCTCCAGACGTCCCGCTCCTGCTCCAGCATTGTCTTTCGGAGTTCGCGTCGCAGCCTGTTCTCCCGGTCGGCCGAAGGGCACGAGGACAGCGGCAAGGACGGGGCCGACGAGTCCGGATGCGAGAGCTCGCGCAACGGCTCCGTGGACTCGGGCGAAGGGGAGGTCGCCTTCTCCTCGAGGTACCGCTCCTTCTCCCTGCCATGGCCCAGTGACCCGACGTGGCGCTGGTCGAGCGATCCCAACATAACCAGCATGGCCGGCGTCCAGTCTTCCGCCTTCGGGCCCGTCGGCGGCCGTCGGGCCAGCGACCAGCACAGCGCCTCCCTCGTGCGCCTCGACTCCGCCACCAGCGACGAGGGCTGCCCCCGCGACGGCTCCACGGGCCCCACGCCGCCGCCCTCGCCCGTGTTCCGTCTGTCTGCGGCGAACCACCTCATGGGACTCATCACGCCCTTCAAGTCCCTCTCCCCCGCCTCCTCCATGGGCTCGCACCTGGGCTCGGTGGAGGACCTGCCGCTCATGCGCTCCAGGTCGCTGGGCCACGTCCCTGACCACTGGTCGCGCTCGCACTCGGCGGACAGCGCCGTCGAGGTGGAGGAGGAGTCGGTCATTGTCTCGCCCGCCCTCTCGCCCGCCGTGCCTCCTGCTGGCGCGTCCGAGGCGTTGTCGGATTACTTGGCGGGCGGCGAGCAGGTCAACGGCGGGCCGGAGGCGGGGGCGAGCGGCACCTGCGACGCCTGCAGCGACGAGAGGAAGCTCTCCGCGGCGGAGAGCGGTCAGTGCAGTGGCGGCAGGTGCCCCGCGGACGAGCCTTGCGTGCCCAATGGTGATATAGTGTTTGGTGAGAGTGATGGTGAAAGTCACGCTTTTTGTGATTGTAATGAAAATTGTGAGAAAGACGTGAGCGTTGTGCGGGAGAGCGTCGACGATTGCTTGAGAACAGTGGAGCTGCGGAAGAAGTTGAGTCAGAGTGGGAATCGTCGCGAGCGCCGGCACGGGGGCGTGAACGGCGAGGTGCTGTTCCGTCACGCCCGCGCCTGCGGCGTCGTGCAGGGCCCCGAGGACCGGGAGGCGGCGGCCAAGAAGGTGCTGCGGACGCCGTCCGTGGTGATCAGCGACCACAGCGGCGACACCATCAGCCTCACCGTCGCCCTGGCCTCCAGCGACTTCTCCATCGACCAGCTGGGGAAGATGGAGAAGCTGCAGGAGTCGGCGAGCCCGACGCTGTCGGCGGGCGACGACGCCTCCCGGAAGGTGTCCAGCTGCTCCTCGTGCTCCAGCGTCAGCACCGTAGACATGACCACGCCCCTCACCACCATTAGCCTCGACAGCCTCATCGAGGTGCCCAACCGACGCATCTCCGACTGCTCCACGTGCAGCAACGTCACGGCCTCCGAGGACGAGGTGGAGCACGAGTTGTCAAGGCCTCCGCCCCCGAGAAAGGTAAGCCTCGATCTCGTCTGCAGTTCTGTCTCCGTCTTGGGCCGCGGTGTCCTTGCGGCGCGTCCTCCGCGGTGCCCCGCGCCCTGGCACTCGGCCGAGCGAGGCGAAAGGGCGCCGCGAGTGGAAGGACTTTTTATGGTCGCTTTACAATGCTGCGTCTTTACGTAGGCCGAGCTGATTCTGTGAAACGATCGTGAAGATAAGTCTGCTTACGAATTTAATGAACTTTTCTATTCGCAAGTGAAGGTTTAAAACGATGAACGTGAATTCACCTTTCTCGTTACTCTTACGGCCAAAGGGGATGAATGAAAAATGCGTTTTATGGTTTGGGTATTTGGTATTTCTTTCACTTTTATACACCGTGATCGTAAGTGCTCTTTCTGTAAAGGAATAGCGAATTATGATAGTATTATTACTATTAGTTATATTTTAGTTTAGTGTTTTTTTTATATTTTAGGTTTCGTGTTATTTTTATATTTTAGTTTTTATTTTTATTTTAGTTTTAGTGTTATATTTTAGTTTTAGTGTTATTTTATATTTTAGTTTTAGTGTTATTTTTATATTTTAGTTTAATTATCAGTTATTGTTATTTTTATTATTATATAATTCTTAGCCTTGTAACGTCCCTTCGTCGATTATCTAGCGAAGGGCAGAATTGCGCAGCGGAGGCCCACAATCTGCCCCAAGAGCTCTCCTTATCAAGCAGTCAGTGTCGTCGCCGCGTGTCCTTCGGCAGGCACGACACAGAAATGATTCGCAATGTAGTCAAACTATAAAACGACAAATCAAACTACAGAAATAAAAAAAAAGAAGATTGGTTATTTTACACTCCAAACTAAAGAAAAAAACAGAATATTGTAAAAAAAAGATAATGAGATTGTCAATATAGAATGAGATCTAAGAAGAAAATCTGACTGAAGAAAAACTTTCCCAGAAAGAATGAGCGGGGGGTCGAGAAAGAAAAAAAAAAAAAAAAAAAAAAAAAAAAAAAAAAAAAAAAAGAGTAGGAGGATTTAGGAAAAAAAAAAAAGAGAGAGAAGAGGGGGGCGTCTTGCTTTCTTTGTGCACGTAAAAAATGAATAACCAGAAACATAACGTTAACAAAGATGGATGTAAACAAACAATAATAAGACCAACAAAAAAAATAAGGACAACCACACAGCGACAATGAACGTAATAAAACATCATCTCTCTCCGCTCTCTTTCTCTTTCTTTCTTTCTCTACCTTCTCTTTCTCTCTTCTCTCTCTCTCTGTCTCTTCTCTCTCTTTCTCTCACTCCTACTACCCCTCGAACGCAACACACCCCCACCCCCAAAACCAAATCATAAAAAACATACATCTACTCTCTCCTCATCTCTCTCTCATGCTAACTACTACTCTCATACCATACTCCAATCCTCTACTCTAAAAAACATCTTACCTCATCATCTCTCGACATACTACAATACCCTCAACCTACCCTCCCACTTCCAACATAACAAAACTTACACCTCACAACATCCCTCCCATCACCTACCCTCTCTCATCTCTCTACATACATCATCCTAATCTCTCTCTCTACTCTACTCTCCCTCATCATCTAAACACACACTCATCTCCCTACAAAAAACCTCACCTCGATCTACCCTCATCACCAAACTCCCATCGATCCCTTTCCCTCGCATCCCTCTCCAACAAAATCATCCACTCATCCAAACTACAATCAAACACTCTTACCCTCTCATCTCTCTCTACTCTTACTCTCTACTCTGTAACTCAATCATAAACCTCTGCCCTCTCCCTACTTCCCTCATCGATCTGCATCTACGCTTTCCATATCACTCATGTACGCATCCTCTCACTCTCAAAAACTCTCACTAATTGCTAACTCCACTCACCACTTAACACCCCAAACATCCCAAATAGACCCCCCCCCCCCTCTTCTACTGACTGGACCCTAGGAACCCTTCCAAAATTGACATATCGCTCATCTTCCGCACCTGTACCATAACTATCCATCATTTCGGCCAGAAGTAAGTACATTCTTAAGCACGTCGCCTACGAGGTAGTGTAGATACGGGCGCTAGTGGGTACATCAACTTGCATGCGAAGGTAATTTTGATTATAAAAGAACGAAAATTTAGATTAGGAAGAGCGGAGGGGGGGTGCAGAGTCCATTGCTGAAGATAGTATTAATAAGAACGAAATTAGATAGAAGAGAAGGGGGACGGATGTCTTTGCCGAAAAGAAATTAAAAAACGAAATAAAATAAAAAGAAGGACAGAAACGTTTACTGCTGAAAAAAGGAAAAAACAAGGAAATAAGATAAAAAGAGGGGGAGGCAACAATCACTTGCTGAAGAAGAAAAAAAAGATAAATAAGATGAAGAAAAGAAAGAAGGAAAGAAAAATCACCTTATGCTGGAGAAAAAAATGAATATATCAAGAATAGGAAAGAAAGAAATTAAAGACAGAGAATAACTATGCTGAGAAGAAAAACAAACAAACGAACAAATAAACATTAAATTACAGATAAAAAGAAAGAAGGGAAAAAGAAAAAGAACCATTGTTGAAGAAAAAAAACAAAGAAGAAGGACAGAAAGAAAAAAAATGCTGATGGAGGGAGAGCAAGATTTGCGCAGTTGAGGGTTTCCGTGAGGTATTCTGAGTGAGGGGATAGAGAGGTGAAGGAAAGGAGAGGATGTGGTGAGGAGAGGACAGGAAAGAGGAAGGGAGATGTCTAACGAGAAGGAAGGAAGAGAAGAGAAGATGTAGAGGAGAGGAAGGAAAGAGAGAGATCAGAGAAACCGTCGAAGGTGGAAGAAGAGAGAGGAGAGAGAGGAAGGAAGGAGACAGACAGAAGACAAATGCGGAGGGAAATAAGGCAGCGAGGGGGGGGAGTGAGAAGGCCCGCAGCGGTCGAGGGAGAACGAAGCATGGCGGCCGGGCTAACCTTGGCTGCTTGTGCGAGAAAGCGGCGGCCTGAATTCGGGCTAATGAGTTTTGCTGGCCCGCGTCGAGGGGCTGTTGCGCCACCCACGGCCGCCGCCACCGCCGCCACCGCCACCGCCGCCGCCGCTACTGCCGCTACCGCCACCTTCTTACTTCTTCTATGCCCGTCGCCGCCACCTTCTGCTTCTTCTTTTTCTTATCCTACGCCCGCCGCTACAGCCTTCTGCGCCCACCTCTTCTCTTTTCTTCCTCTTCTTCTTTTCTTCTTCTTTTCTTCTTCTTCTTCTTCTTCTTCTTCTTCTTCTTCTTCTTCTTCTTCTTCTTCTTCTATCTTCTTCTTTCTTCTTCTTCTTCTTCTTGTACGCCCGCCGCGCCACCTTCTTTTCCGCCTCTTCTTCTTCTTCTTCTTCTTCTCTTCTTCTTCTTCTTCTTCTTCTTCAGCGCCCATCTCTCCTTCTACGCCGCGACGTCCTCCTTCGTGATCGCTGCCCGTCGCGCCTCCTCCCTTGGCGCCTTCTTGGGGGAAGGGGGGGGGAAATTCTCATAATCTTTTTCTTCGTGTGGTGCTGCTGTTTTTGTCTGCATGTCCCTCTCCCCCCATCCTTCTCTTTCTGTCTCTATCCCCTCTTCGACTCCTCCTCCTTCTTCTTCTTTTCCTTCTCCTACTTTTTCTTCGTCTTCTACTCCTTTGTCCTCCTTCTTTTTTCTACTTTCTTTTTCTTTTATTCTCTTCTTCCCTTTTCTTCCACTCCTGCTACCTCCCCCTCTATCTCTTCTTTTTCTTACTTCTCCTGTCTCCTCCTCCCCTCCCCTCCTTTGCCTCCACTCCTTTCCACCTATCTTTCTACTCTTCCTGCCCCTTCCTCCTCCACCCTTTTCCTTTCCTTAACTTACTTTCCCTTGCTCTTTCCCCTTCCTCCCCCCTCATCTTCGCGCCCCTTGCCCCCTCCTCCTTCCTCTTTCTCATTTCCTCTTTCACCTTCTCCTCTCCATATCACTCCTTTCACCCTCCTCCCCTCCTTTCTTACCTCTTCTCTTCCCCTCTCCCTTCCTTCTCCTTTCCCTCCTTCCCTCCTCCCACAGTCTCTTCTCCCCCCCTTCCTTCTCTTCCTCTCCCCACCTTCTCTATCCCCTTTGACCTCTCCCCTCCCCTCCTCCTCCCCCCCCCCCTCCAACCTTCCCTTCTTCAGCACGACGACCAACCCGGCAACAAAACGGGCGACGCCTTCACGTGTCTTTCTCCAACACCAGCACGTGCTCCTCACGTGCCAAAACACGTGTCTTTCTCCAACACCAGCACGGTCCTCCATCAAACACGATTCTTTCTCCAAACACCAGCAGTGTCCTCCATGCAACACGTGTCCTCCCACAACACATATCCTCTATGCCAACACGTGTTATATCCCAAAACCACACTGTCTCCAATGCCAACACGTGTCCTCCAACAAAACACATATCCTCTAGTCCAACACGTGTTCTTTCCCAACACCAGTACGTGTCCTCCAATGTCAACACATCCTTCATCCAACACCAGTCACTTGTCTATCTCCAACAAACACGTTCCTTCTCCAACACCAACACGTGTCCATTCTCCAAACACCATACGCTATCATCCAGTGCCAACACGTGTTTTTCTCCAACACCAACACGTGTCTTTCTCCAACACCAGCACGTGTCCTCCAATGCCAACACGTGTCTTTCTCCAACACCAGCACGTGTCCTTCTCCAACACCAACACGTGTCCTCCAACACATCACGATACTACTATGCCAAACACGTGTCCTTCTCCAACACCAACACGTGTCCTTTTCAACAAGGCAGTCGCGTTTATGAAAACAAATCGTCAAATATCTTCACAAACCCCAAAAATGTCTTGTTGTGTTGTTTATGTTTTGTTCGCATTTATTTCTTTGTGAGATGAAGTCCCGTTGATGTTTTCTTGAAGATATGGTAGTGATAGCCGGTAAGAGAGAAGAGAGAGGAGGTGAGAGAGACTGAATGAGAAGATCGAGAGAGAGAGAGAGAAGCCGAGAGAAGAGGAGAGGAGAGAGAGACGAGAGAGAGAGACGAGAGAAAGAAGAGAGAGAGAGAGACAGAACGAGAGAGAGAAGAGAGAGAGATGAGAGAGGAGAGAGAGAGAGAGGAGAAGAGAGAGAGAGAACGAGAGAGAAGAAGATTGAAAAATGTGATTGATGATGAATGATGTGGAAGATGATGATGTAATGAATGAAAAATATGATAATGATAAGGGAGAAGAGGAAGAAGAATATAGATAATGATGAGATGATAATGATTAAAACGATAAGAAAATTAATATATTATAAGGAAGACAATGGAGATAATGGTAAAGATGGAGAAGATAATGGATCACGATAAGATAAGGATAATGGTAATTTAAGATAAAGATTATTAAAAAGGAAATAGCTATTGATAAAGATTATGTTTGATAACGACAACCGATTACTATTAAGGGAAAACGATAATAGTGATTAATGATAACGATAATGAAAACTTGTAAGACGATAACGATGATAATGATAAAGATAACAGCAATATGGATAAGCAAAATGATAACGATAAAAGGGCCAATTGCGCTAGAATGTCGAGCAGGCGAAACGAATGGTTAAAGCGAGCAGGTTTAAGGGTCACTTGCAACTTGCAGGTGAAACGAGCTTATTAAAACAGGCAGGTGA